GCTGGCGTTCGAATCAATATAGAAACATCGAGTTATTAGAAAAAGTCTTCTTTCACACTATACACACGATAAAGCAATAAACGAAATAAAATACAAACTGAACGTATTCGGATTGCACCTTAAATGTGCATTCTATGGGCTCGGAAATGCCTGTTCTAATGAACAGAATGAGCACTCATTCTTATAAATAGCCTACTCATCTATACATAATAGTCATTCTTTCTCTAATTTTCTTTTTTGTAACTATCTTAATGTTTGTTGCAGTTTTATACTTCATTTTTTTCTGATTTAAAATTTCTACTGCTCTTTCTTCTAAAGTTATAATTGTTTGCGAAGGCCTGGGTTTGGGAAGAGACATGAGCATTTTGTTTTGATTCGGTCGAATGCGTCATCAAAGCTTAATTTGTATTTTTTTCATCAATTAAGCACAAAAAATCGTTGCACTACGAGACATACATACAACCGAAAAAGAAAATTGGTTGTCGCTAAAATTCTTCTTATTTTTTACCAGCATGACAATGAATGAGAACATTGCGTTTATTGTGTACAGTTTAATCGAGAAAATCCTAGCATGAATCAAATTCGATCAATAATTCAGCTACATTGATATCAAAACATGAACATATTTGCGTATGCAGTGATCATTAGCCGGAGGACTCGGTTCAAAATCGAGTACACTCAATATATGTGTAATATTGTGTGAATCAAATGCTTAATGATTTTGATACGAATCAATATCGCCTAGCCATGGATGCTTGTCAATTTTATCAGCTGAAAACACTTGATGAAAGTTGTCAATTTCTTCACAACTAAATTTTCAACAAAATGCAAAAACGATATTCGATCCCAGCGAGAGAGAATTATTACTGATCCATGGATGCTTGAGATATTTTTTTCAATCAGAAATGAACGGATAGACATTGTTCTTGTTGTAATTTCGATTTCTATTTTTTTTCTCTTTCATAATTTCTTCATAATTCATCGCACACTCGTCGCTAACTCTGTGAGGAAAGGCAAACAGAGTTGAAGTTGAATGGGTCCACTATTCTTCCACATAAATTTGGATTTCTTCATTCCAATCTAAAACTGGATGTGGATGTGGGTGAAACTAAGACCTACACTCACACTGGCAGACACAGTCACATCCTATTTTCCAAACAATCTTTTCGAACAGTCGTTCGCGCTGGCAGGTAAATTTTGCACCTCTGACACACCCTACATTCACACACCCCACCTCGAAAGCAAAAAAATTTTATTTGAGAGTTGATTTTAGTTTATGTAAGCTACAAAGATCCTGTCCATATAATCTACAAATTGGCATAAGGAACTTTTCATATTTCAATGTTCATTGTTCTTTCGTTGGATAAAGTGGTTAGCCATTGTAGGATGGTTTTGGCGGAAATTGACAACCAAGTTGTTGCAGGTTTTCGACAGCGCAATATAAGCCAGCATTAGCACATTGATCTACGCTCTTTCCCAAAGCCAGATAAGCAAGGAATCCTGATATTATTCATATTATTCATATTTTGCATAATAGACTCAAAATGAAAAGAATTGGAAACGTTTCATACCTCCAGCTAATGCATCACCACAACCATGTGTATCAATGACTTTTGAAGGTTTTTTCCATCGATATTCTTTGATACCATCAACTTAAAAGATATTTAATCTATGTAGATCTCCAAATCAAGAGACGGGAAAGTTTTCTTACCTGTTGCAACTGTTGTGCGTTCAGGAATTTTTGTTACAACAACGATCCGTGGTCGGCCTCGATTCCATTTCGGAGTATCACGAATGGCTTCGAGAACAGCATGCAAATTCGAAGACTATAAAATACAAAACATCATGGGAACATGTATCAATTCATATCACATGTACCTGCACGTGAAGCTGAGTTTTGGCAAGAACTTTCGCTTCCTTTAAAATATAGTTGATATTATTCTATTCATTTCATACACTAACTTACATCTTCATATCCAAAAACCACGTCGGCGTAGGGCAACGCACTCAATAGTCGAACTCCAATTGGATCATCACAGATATATTTTGCCGATAAAGTCATGCTGAAAATCTTGCCCGTTTTGAATGCATGTTCACATACACGCATAAATGCTTCACGGCATGATACCAAAAAGAAACCCTGGTGAAAAGAAAAGTATTCAAGCAAGTTAAAACAATATTTACTGATATGACCTAGTATTAAGAGTTTAGCATTTCAGTTTTTCTCGAATGTATTAGTGTATTTTAGGACGAGGTATTGAAACATAATTTCACTATTGGTAAAAAACACAACTGTTCAAAATTCAGAAACTCATAAACCCTAAAGACTTTGATTAAGTTGTTGATCAATGAGGACTAAAAGATTCTCATCATACGATGCTTTGTCGAAATGTGTTTTTTTCTTTTAGTGGCATAGTTATTATATGGGTTTTCTAAGAATCGATAATCGAATTCTTTTCTACAAACGTTGCAAGAATAGCAAGTATGAAGAGAAAATCATGAGAAAAGAAGTAGTTGCATTCCATTTCATTTTGATTATTTCAATGTTAATGAACGTACATTCAACTGAATGACAGATGTATTTATTTGTCTTAAACTGTACTTACTTTCATAATACATCTATTATTTTGTAAAGGTGAATTTCAAATACAGCCAACGCAGTGATTTTGACGTATATCAATAAAAGTAATCAAATATTTATGAGAAGAAAAAAATTAGGAAATCAATTCCGAGATGAGTCAAGATCAGAGATGGGCAGCTCTCGTTGTCGGCTCCGATGAAAGTTGGTGAACCAGCGATCCAGGACAGATTATACATACGTCGAGTTTGGCATCATTCGACACAGAAATGTTTGCTCTTTCCAGCTATGTATTTAGCTTGACCCTTGTCTTCCATTGAGAAGAGTATTCATTGAGACAAAGATGTTGGAGCCAGTAGTCGGAGCGGGAGCTGAGTTCAACCAGCTCCGACGACTTTGTTTCAACGAATACTCTTCTCAACGAAAGACAACAGTTAAGTTAAATATATAGCTGGAAAGAGCAAACATTTCTGCGTCGAATGATGTTAAATTCGACGTATGTATAATCTGTCCTGGGTCGCTGGTTCACCAACTTTCGTCGGAGCCGGCAACCGGAGCTGCCCATCTCTGGTCAAGATAGTCCAACATCATGCCAGATCGAACCAGAGCTAGTTGTTCTAGACTCGGGCTCGGTACCATCCTTGTTCTGAACACTTGCGAAGGAATTTTTCTAACTCATAAGTCGCCTTTGAGTTGAGACTATGAGTGTCGTGATCGCCCTCAGAAATATAAGGAAACCTTATTTTGAAATTTTGATTTGTAACTTTGTGCAACAACAGGTCTTAATGATAATCATCACTTATACACATCGGCAGATTTAATGTTCCCTTGTCAGAACAGAAGCAAATCGAAATATTTGAAACGTTCACAATAAACTACTTTCGTATAGGGAAGTCTTTGCACAAAGTTTCAAACTGAACTTCGAAAATATATTCTCCTAGTGATTCTACTGGGGAACACGGCATTAATTAAAAATAATACCGTAAAAGTGCTCATAGTCTCGACTCAAAAGTGATTTATAAGTTGGAAGAGTTTAGTCGTGAGTTCGTCTAAACATGAGTATTTTTCATGATATCTTGCATAGACAAAACAAATTAATCAGGGTAAAAACGGAAACTATTTATTAATTGATCATTAGGCGAAATAGATTCATTTAAGTAGGGCTTACCTCTGAGCAAAAAATTTGAGCTTGCTCAATTACACCCCAATTATCTCTCTCATCAAGAAAATCGGCTGTGAATGCCTCTGATGCACCCAAGCTTGCAACCATGGTTCGAACTCTTGAAAAAATAAAGATATAAGAAGTAAAATAGCAGAACATATATATTTACTGATCGCGAGAACTGATTAAGACAGCGCATCTTCCTGTTGTCAATTTGGGATGAGTCTGATACTTGACGTCGAGACCTGCGGATTGGGCCAATTGGATCAGGTTCTGCTTTTCGAAATCGTCGCCGACACATCCCATATAAGAAGCAATATGCTTTTGTCCGAGAAACCACTACAAGATCGAATCACAAATTTAGATTCATATATGAAGCTTTTCTTAGTTAAACTGCATGAAGTTTTTGTAGTGGTTCTTTTTAAATTTTTGTTCGACTATTGGACTCGAAGATAGATTAATATCAAAACTTCTGATTTCAATGTCATTTCAAAGTTTACATAGTGAGTGATTTTAATTTTTGTATCGCTTTTGCTCACTTGTGTAATATCGAATCTCTAAGAGTAATGATTTTGAATCTCCTTTCTTATAAACTATTTCTGTCTCAGATGAATGCTAAAATCTCACTCATTTTCTACTCATCCTACTATTCGACCTATTTTGCGAAGCTAACGAATTACTTTCTAATGATCGAGGCATCATCTACTTAGAATCCATCAATCTCATAAAGCGCGTTTCAGGAAAAACTTTTGTGAAGATCACGATTCATATTTAAATTAATTCGCACATCGAAGTATTAATAGAGGTCCTAATTTTAGCTAATTGAAATTCGAATCTTGTTCTGAACCTATCATGATCAAGTAATATGAACCAATAGTGTCTCTCTACTTTTAATTTGTTCTGTAGAATGCATTTAGAATAGTGAGCTAACACTAACCACAATGGTTCTCATGATGTTTTGCGATGAGCCACCAATTTCAAGACGACCCTGTTTATTCAGTGTTCGGAAACTGAAAAGGAAAACAAGTCCATCTATTTCTTGAGTATTAGAAACTTACAGTGATGCATGTTCATCACGAGCCAAGATTGCTTCGTTCTCTTTAAGTTTATATCTTGAATATGTCATAATTGAGTTACAAAACTTCTCAAAAGATACTGGCACATCTTACCGTTCTAAGAAATCTTCATCCACTTCCTTACTCACATCCAACAGAGGATTTCCAATGCCGAAAAATGATCCTCGCCTATAAATGTTAATGTTGATCTTGTGATTAACAAATACTAATTAATATTGTAGCTATTTACCGTAAAATCATCTTTTCTGCCATGACTGATTTGATATTGTTCGAGTGTATTATATTAGTATAAAGACTTGAATTCTACCGAATATAGGAACAGATCTAAAAAATCAAGATCTTTGACATTCGAAGACAATAAACATTCGAAATGGGTACCGGCTTTTCCACACCAACTCTCTTAGGTGCTTGTGAAAAATCCATCGGTTCTATCTTATTTCAGTACTTTTATTCTGATTATCTCGTTTAGCTTTTTTAGTATGTTCTGTACTATTTCAAGATTGAAAAACAAATATACGAACAAAAAAGAAATTATAAAAGCAGTACAACGATTTCTATGTTGCGTGGAACTGATCGGTTGTTAATGCAATTTGCAAAGCTACTGAATGTGTTCTATCGTTTTGCGATCTCTTTGATCAAGAAATTAACCTCATCCTCTTCGATAATATCCTTACGGAAAATATTTACATTATCTCTTTCTAGTATCGGGTACGTTTGTTTAAAGTACGAGAACGATTATAATTATTATCATCACTTGCTACATAGTGTCAAATATATAAAAAGTTCACGAATCTTGATTGTGCGTCAATTCCAAAATACAATGACAGCAAATAATATAGTCTCAGCTGAAACGTTCATAGTGCTAGCTGATTGGAGTTTTAGAGATTACAACAGATAAATACAACACCTCATAGTCCCAAGTAAGTAAAATAAGATTCTCTGTCTCGAAGATCGGTCACTCAGAATCAGAATACTAGACAAAAGAACAATGTGCATGAAAAATTTCTCTCTTTGAACTTTTTTCGTTGCAATAAAGAGTTTTGGTAGCCTGGATAGAGGTCTTTTATAAAACACAATCTAAAAGGAATGTTGAAATGTAGAGATAATAATTCAAACCACTCACGGACTGTGTATCAATAACGTTTTGTTATAATATATGAACGATGATCGTGTCTCACATTTTAATCTCGCGAGAAATTGCTCTGATAGCTATTTTAATAATATATGTATTATCTAAAAACTCCATACGAAAAAATCTGTGTATAGATGAGAACACTATAGAAGCCAGTTTCTCGAGAGATACGAACAATGTATGTGTGTGTCTAGAAGTTGCATTAAATCAAAAAGAAAGTGAAAGAATAATCAACTCTAAATCAATACGAATGGCATAGCATATTTGTTTTACTTTTTTTTTTCTTTTTATATCTAGATTTTTTTCATTCAACAGAGCTGATTGAAGTAGGAGAGAGAAACGAAAAAGTTGTTTATATAATTCTTTCTACTGCTTTGAATTCAAGTGCTGCCATTTTTATATAAGTGAAGAGTTTCAAGCGAATGAAATTTTTTTTAGCTCTGATATAATCAAAAAACAATACCTCCAATAGCTCACCAAAGAAAATGAAAATATTTTCATCTGATACTTTCATAATTCATCAATAAAAAACGAAAAAAAAAACTATATATATATATGCAACGCTACGAAGCTATTCCTTGTAGAGATCAACATCAATTCTAAATGGAAGACTTTGATAGAAATAACTATAGTCAAAATTTGTCTGCATGAGGAGCCTTGATTACCAGAACTATTTTCGAACTTTGCTTTGTTTGATCTTGAGTTTCTTATACATAGAGAAAAGGATATAAATGCAAATGTAAGAGTGTGATTGCGAATGTGAGTGTAGCAAAGACACATAACTACACTTACATACACTTACACCCACATCCAAATGAATTTATTTTTTACTTCTCAACAGAACCACTGCATACCGCTTAATCCCAGTCAGAAAAACAAAAAGAAACATTGGGCTGAATGCATTATTAAAAGCAATGAAAACAGATTTATTTAGGAGTATGAGAAGTGAAAAAACTTTTATGATACTTTTCATCAGTCATTGAACATTATGATTCTAAAGAAATACCCTAATAAGGCCAATAATGTGAACTAAATAAATACGGGACAGTTTTTGGAACTAAATCTTATGTGCAGCATTTTCGATATAAATTAGCTCAAGTAAAAGTAAATTACGCAAGATACTTATGATCTTCAGAAACTACTGTATCTTACACTTGACTTGGTTGCGGTAGCATTGAAAACTTGATTGTCTTATCCTTATTTTTATGTATATTAATTCTAGATCAAGCTATCAATTAGGGGCAGAGGTGCATAAGAATGCATTTAGGTGCCTTTTAATTTTCATCACTAAAACAAATTGAATGGTATAGGAATCGGCAGGTTATAACTTCTTGAACATTTTTATACTAAAGTTGATGCATTTTCATAAGATTCTAGTTGTCATCGGAAACTATGATTCACCATACCATCAAGCATCAATGAGTCAATGACACTCTAATTGTGACAGGGTGGACGTATGAGTGTGGATAAAATAGAGACTTCTCTCACTCCCACACCTGTTTTTTCTTTCATAATAAATGATGAGTCAGTTCTGTAACTTGAGCAATAACGTATTTATTTTTCTTTCACAGAGAACTATGAAAAGTAAAAAAAAAAGGTACACTAAATGCTCGAGATGAGACTTGAACTCACAACCTTTGGCTTATTAGACCAATGCACTAACCGATTGTGCTACCCGAGCGACATTCAACGAACCATTGACAATTTTTCACTAATGTCGACTTTCGAGAGTATAAGTATTACTGAATAATGTTTCGTGAGTATGTCACGATCAATACCGAATATTCCAATTTCAAACAACATCTGCAAGAGTACAGCAGCAAAATGTTGATTCGTTTTTTTGGGTGATTGATTTTGTTTGATATTCACCGGAAGAGTTTTTCTGAAGATCGCTCATGTCTTGACGTATTCTGCAAACCCATTATGTTCGACGTACATAGTTAACGATATGAGCGCATGAATCAGCCAGCTTCTACTTTCAAATATAAGACGACATATCAATCCTTGTCAAGTAGTTTGCGTAGTAATTATCGATTAATCTCTTTCTTCTACTTTTTTACACTTGCGTGTTTTTTGACTGATGGCCAGTTCGAACGACAACCTGTACTAGAGAAGGTGACAACTACTATCGAACTCCATGGATTCTCAACGTACAACTAATTTTCTTCAACTCGCAGTTTTATTTCAAAAGAAACAAAACGAGTCAGAGCAACTGCAGCATCGCATATGTTCCGCTACTGCACAAAGATTATCTATAGAATACATCATATTCACATGATTTTCGTACGATAATATAGGGAATAGAATGCACTGGACTTCCTCGATATTACCAGTCGCATCAATATAGCCGTGAGTATCAGTAATTTTTCATTGTTACACCTATATCGACACCTGAACTAGGCATACTCCAATGCACATCCAGACCAACAGTCCATAGTTAACAAAATCAACACGAAACAATATCATACTAGGATGCATATTTTCTTCATGCAGGGATATGTCAATAGATTGAATAATAACATGCGAAAACTCTAAAGCATTGTTTTTCGTATATTTTTGAATCGATTGAGAGCTTATAGTTGTGGCATCCTCAGCTATTTGTTCTATCTCCTCATAAAAAGACTTTTCGATCAATTCACATTTGATCATCATCGATTTGGACGATTTTTATTGGCTTAATCAAACAGGGTGCGAATAACACCAGCCTGTATTCATCTTTCTAGACAAATTGATAACTAGCGTTACCTATTGGTACTGCTTTGTAATGGATGAGTTTTTTTTCAATCAACTAAATCATGAACAACAACTAACTAACATGTTGCGATTCCCTTTCTAGTATGCTGACAGAACGAAAAAAGTATAGCGTGTTAATCGAATCAATATCAAATACACTATTTGCGACGATTTCTGAAAACAATTAGATGGGCCGAATTTTTGATTTATAGCGATCGATAGAGGAAATTTTTCCCCATCGAACTGCGGTTTTAGTTTTTTCTAGAAAATTGTCTATACTCGAGAAATAATCGAAACAAACTGACCAATCAAATCACATAAACGCTTCTCATTTGATATTGAATCGATGATTCATCTTTATTTGTCAACATACTATTCGAAAAAGAGAGTAAAAAATTTTTTAGCATTTTCATCAAACCGACAACATACAAGACAAATGTAATTGCACAATTCGTAGCAAAAGTAATATCATTTGACGTTTTTTTTTTGCAACCTTTTCTTACCAACAATAAATAAAAAAATTGAGTCATTACTTTTATTCAGCTCAAAATTTCAGTTGCTTTGTTCTTATGTATTTTTGTCTGATGTCATTGCCAAGAAAAACAACATTCGAAGATCTAAGCAGTGAATTACACATTTCGATATTTGAATATTTAAATGCCAACGATTTGATTCAATCAATTTTTAATTTAAATCAGTATTTCAATCAACTACTGTGCGATTATCATTTGTTGCTGCATTGGACGTTGATAGAGGATCGAAACGAAATTGGTACTCTTTCATCAGCTATTTGTTTAGAACAATTGAAATCATTGAAGTGTTATGATTATCATTTGATACAATTTCATAATCCAAACAAATTGTCATGTCTTCTTTCATTAGTAGTTTTCAAATATGCCATAAATATACGTGAAGAAGAAGTAATTGATTTCATACTGGCAATTCCACAATTAAAATATTGTCAAATTAAACTATCACAATCACATGATCAAGTAGATTTTGTTTCTCCTAGCTATCATAAGAGTCAAGAACCAACATCATCTAACTTGAAATACCTTGATATTGATTCGAAATTTGGTGTGTCATTCTCTTATTTTCATTCTCATGTTCTTCGATGTTCACCAAATCTACGATATGTAAATGCTTATTTATCATGTGATGATGGTAATCATAATACAATCTACAAACCTATCAGCGACTTAGTTTATTTATCAAAATTAACTTTAAAAATTCGCAGAGCAAAATTAGACCATTTGAAGTTACTTTCGCAAAATACTCCAAATATTGAATCGTTAAAATTGGATTGTTTAGCAGGCAACAGTAATGAATCATTTATGAACGCTCAAAAATGGTTCCAACTTTTATCATCATGGAAAAATTTAAAGTTATTAAGAATATATGTTCAATCGAAAAACAACATACCATATAATCATTTCCCTGGAATTCAACAAACATTTAGATCTGTTCCATTTTTAGTTGAACGTCATGTATGCCCCGAATATTCATTTTCTGGTTACAATCGCCGACGAATTCATTTCAATGCACATTATCGAAAAAAATAAGTAAAAACATAATATGGTCGACTCCTTTTCTACTTATTTGTATTGATTGAAGACGAACTGTTCTAACATTTGTCAGTTATGTCACTTTGCTTTCTTCTTCAATTCCAAACAACTTTTGTCTTATCACTAACTAAAACTAGATCATACCTTGGCAAAGCTCAGAGTGTGGATATCAATGCAAAGGGTTCCCATAAAATTGGACTTTGCGTTGGCGGACTGAGAAATTGCCAGAATCCAGTTTGCGAAATTTCGGCTTACCACCATATTCACCTCCCTATTTTCATTGTAATTTCACTTATTGATTTATTTCATTATTATCATTACTTTGTTTTTGGTTTTGAAGAAGTCATAAGCTAATTGCGACATATCACTCGAATACATTGTTACAAATAAAACATTTATATAATAATTAATAATCGTTTTTTCTCTTCCATATTGCTTGATATATTTTATTCAAAATTAATTTAAAGTTTAAAAGTTTTATTTTATACATTGACCATCAAGTTATAACAAATAGGATGTGGATGTGGAGTGTAAGTGTAGATCAAACTTCTTCTAATTCATACACGTTCACTGAACCCACACTGTTACCCTCATTTGTAACCCTTTCTCCACCGTTACTATTAGCAGTTCTCATCAACATAACGACGCAAATTGTAAGAAGTCAGCAACATCTTTTTTTCTTCTATCTCGTTTCCTATCACTTTTTCAAAATCAGATGACAATCTTCTGAAGGATCTAAATGTAACTGTGTAAACTTTATCAAATCATAATTGATTAATATGTAGAAAAACCAAATATCATATGATAATCACGAAGTACAAATGTTTACTGCTTGTCATTTATATCATAATAATGGTTCGTCTATTTTTAATTGATAAAGAAAATAAATTCACTCTTTTGTTTCTCTTCATTTAAAAGTCAAGATATAGTGACTTTTTTCGGAATATTTTATGATAAACAGAAAAAAAATAACATTAATTTAACATTTTTCTCAGTATATATTAAAAGGTAAACTCGTATTCCGTCACCGTTTTCTTCGAAATATTTGCTTACACAAAGTACAGTAAAATAGTTTTGATAATCTTAATTATTTCTTATCTGAAAACCATAATCGAAAAGTACTTTAATTTTATAATATATATCAGCTTGTGGGTGCGGGTGGATGTGACTGTACATCTATATTGACATCTACGTCCACCACACCCAACAAAACGAGTGCCATATTGAGCACTCACATGACCAATTCCCGTAGTCGACTCAACATGAGCTATGCTGAATTAGTGCCAGGCGGTAAAGAGTTAAGTATGATTCGGATTATGTTCAAGAGATCGTAAAAATCAAACAAGTGTTCAAGAATCTGTACCAATAAGCTTTCATTTTTTTGTCTGATAATAATATTTTTGAATTTCTCATGATCTACATAGAGATTTTTTGGAAGCTTTCTTTGTTCTGACGATATTTACATTAAAAACTGAAAAGAAATATAGCGGAGAAAAAAAGTGCTAAGAAAAAAGAAAAAGATATCCTAGAAGCATAAACTGAAGATAGAGAAATTTGAAAAAGTCAACACCTATTTCTGGTGAACGACTACATTAATGACGATGATATTCATTTGTTTATACCTTTAGATGTACATGATAAATAGATTTCATATTTCAATTAACTTATGCTACTACTCAGGCACGTCTGTACGGCTAGACACAAAACAAAGTTTATAGACGACCAATGTCTACTAGTGGACTCAAGCAAACTCAAAAGAAAGAGTCGAGAATTATTCAGAGACAAAAAAAAACAAGATGATAAACGATAGACGATCAATCTATTTTGATAAAGTTAGGGGAACAATAGGATGACAACATGGCATCGTCGACGAAAGTATCCATCGAAGCCAGGAACAATAACATATATGAAGTATCCATACATGAAATGTATCATCACCTCTCAACAATAAACTCAAAATACTACGGAGAATATGTCATGAAATACGGTTTAGATATCGGTAGTACATCCTCTACTAATACAAATGAAACTGTCACAAAACATCATATCTAAATAAGACATGCCCACCCTTCTATCAAGAAGTTTTTCATGTACTATTGGAACTGTTAAAGCTCTGAAAATTGTCCCAGACAAGAATTCTATTCAGAAGGTTAGGTATACAGTAGTTTCTGTGTACAAGATACCGTTTTACATCATAAGGTCATTGACAAGAACATCTGGCATAGAGTAGGTGAGACTCGGTGTTTTCAGCCTTTTATAGATGAATGTGCAAAACCGGTAATTGATGTTCATGTCTACCAAATAGTAATCACATGAAAAGAAAAACAGATTGTTTCAAATAATTATTGTATCTTTTTAAAAATATTTATTGGTACTTACATTCTTAAGAGAAGAATAAGACTAGTGGGCTTCAAACAGTTCTTTGGAACAAACGATTGCTAATATTTAGTTCTATGATAAAGTTACACTTATAATAAAGCGGAAGCAAGTGTTAACTCAACGAAAGTTAATATTTAGTGCATGGAAAAAAAAAATGAAGCACATGTCAAGTCTCGTTTATTAATAAAGAACTGTTTCAGGAACTTGGATCTTTTACTTAAAAAGAGCAAAAGTTAGTAAAACAAGAGCGATATCTAGATTTATAGGTAATATTTAATATGTTTATGTAAGATTTATTTATAGAACAGTTTCAATATAGATTAGACGGAGAGAAATGTTGTACTCTATCGAATGGCATGTTTGAAATCATATTTCTGCATCATTATGTCATATTTACGAAAGCTTTTTGTCACATCATAGTATCTGTTAGAATTAAGATGTGCTAAAGATGAATCAAGTAAATAAAGAAATAATTTTATAACTTTTTTTCTCATCCGAATCGCAGTTCTATTAATAAACATTTTTCTGAGGCATCTGGCAGGATCAAATATAATTGCATGACTATTTATGATCGCAGATAGCTTTGATATTCAGATAAATCGCGAAAGACGAGTAATTCTGCAGACTTTAAGCTGTGTTAAATTTCATTTATGGGTTCATCTTTTTCTAAAAGCTTGTAAATGAACCATGTTACTTGATTTTTATTTATGTAATGATTAACTAAATAAATGGAAATTTAAAAAAAAATCAACGTCATCATAAAAATCATTGTCTATGATTTCTTATTAGTTAGTAGATGCATGGAAGTACGAAGAAAATCATTTTGACTAGTTAGATTTGATTGCTGATACAATCATACCACCACAATAGTCTGCCAACGGATCATCTTTATCTCCAATTTTCTCACTCTCAATTTCCACTTGATCAGACTTTATACCAGCTTCTTGTAAAGCTTCTCGTATGATCTGTTCATCGAGAGGTAAACCTGTAAATCGTTCATTTCCTACCATATAGTACGAACAGTTGGTCGCAGCAATAAGTATCAACAATCCACCAGGTTTCAGTAGGCGCACTAGTCGACGCACGGCCTCCTTGTATGCATCGCGAGTTTGACATGCTACGTCCAAACATTCACAAGTCACAATAATATCATACTCATTACTTGGACCAGAAAGAATAGGACAAGATGGATCGTTAGCATCGCAACGTGAAATAGGTAAAGTACTGAGAACATGTCGAAGTCGATTTTCCCAATTCAATAATTCAGTTTCAGAAGTCTGATGCTCTCGAAGAAGATAACGAAAGAATGTTGTCCAATCGTGTGCGTTTGATGAACCATCAAGCCAAGCTTGAACAGCCTGAAGATTCGTCTCAGCGTAGTCACAAAATTGAATTTTATCGACATATTGAGCAAGAAGAAATGATGGCCAAAGACTAGGTCCACCGCCAAAATCTAGCGCCTTACCACCAATATAATTTAGAGCTGCATATTTTTTTGAGATACGCACAAGACCACGAATGTAAAATGCGTAGTTAGGCGTCACTTCACTGTAATAGGATGTAAGATACTTGCTAACATCAAATTTATTCTGGTAGTCATTTACATGATGTGAAGACGATGATGAATCGACCATGATTTAATGATTTATATTCAATATTTATTCTTGTTCAGATAAAAACAAAATAATATTTTGATGTAGTATTGAAGCAAGCACGCGAGCAGTAAAACAAAACGATAAAGATGCCGAGGTTTACGTATACGCAACCAGTATTGAAGCCTTATGAGTTATATTGTTTTTTTTCTACTGATAAAAGATAAAAATGCATATCGCCTTTGCTGTTTTTTTCTTCTATGCTATCACAAAGAAAGAAACAGCCCATGTCGCTCATTTTTTATGAATCCCGGCGGGATCTCGCGGGATTAACTTTTCTCGGCGGGATCTCGCGGGATTGCGCAAAAGTGACGGGATCCTGCGGGTTCCCAGTCAAAAAGAACGCCCATGTCGTCAAAATTGTCTAAGTTTTAACGATTAATTGCCGATCAACCAATCAT